CACAGGTGCTCAGCGCACAGGATATGGGGCATTTCACAGGTGCCAAGAACCCTAGACGCGACGAAAGGCCGGATTAAGATCACTGGAGATGTTTGCCAGGGTTGTGCCTAACTCGGCCAATGGGTATAATCCCGTTCTGACAGATCCGTTGCCATTTTTAGGCAGTTGCAGAAACTCCCCAGAGGGGTAAGCTAATTTGTAGGGTTATTAAGCCGCACACCTTCGCCGATTTTTGTGAAACTTGATGACATCCTAACGTTGGGCTTAAGTGCAATTCATGGTCATGTACGGGACTGATTACTGACAACAATTTTCTGGATGTTTTTAGTTTTCATTGGTGTAATTGCAGACTTCCTTGCCACTTACATGCGCATGCATACGTTTGTCCAATGAAAAAGGTGGCTAGCCTACTATCCGCTCCGTTCACAAGTACCCCCTCACGTGCAAGGAGCCTACAGTTGGAGGGTGACCAACCGACGCCATCTTGCCTGACTGCAATTCATTTGCCGCGAAGCACGGCCACTGCATGTACATAGTACAAATCCCCTGGTGTACGTGCGTCACACACAAGGAATGGTGCGCGTCAACCAGCGAAATGTCCCGCCCATGGGACGTTGTTACTAGGTAAAAGGGCCCCCTTTTTCGTCGGCGCACGGAACCCATAGTCAGTAGTTTTAAGTGTCTTTCACACTATCCAAATCACCATGTTGAAGCCAGGTCCAATATGGAGATACCGGTACAGGAGCCCCTTTCACATTAGCTAGAATCCAACACATTTTCTACACGGGGCTGGCACTCTACACAGGTAAAATCCAACATCAGTGGGGACCAGGGTGAAAAAATGCCCCAGATCTGATGGTTCATGACGCCGGTATGCGACCAGCTTTTTCCTCCTTTGTAAAAGTGAGTCACTAGTCGCCAAGTGCGCTTCCATGTCGCGATCCATTTAGGTTAGGTTCACAAATATTGGAAATTTGTTTTGGATTTTATTGTGACAGTCACACTGCTTTGAAATTTAGATTCTGTAGTTGGAAACAGTAATTCTTTTGTTATCTTTCAACCACATGTTTTCAGTTAGGCTTTTTGTGCATATGTACCGGTACCGTATGTGATGATCCCCCCAACATTTTGGGGGATGGCAGAGGTAAATGATGATATTCTTTCCCCAATAATTTTCCCAGTGCATATTGTTTTTTACCAAAGTAACCTAAAAGTAACCCAAAGTAACCTAAATGTACCAAGGGCTTGTGATGTTCTACATGTAGGTCATCAACTTAATGGGAACTTCAACTTGTTTGTTTTTTGGGGGCAAAAACTCACACATTTGTTCTTGACATGTATTCGTTTGAAAAACTTCCATAACTGCAGCATTGTAACAAGAGTTGAAGAATAAGATCGCAGTCAAGGCTTAAACATTCAGTCTTGTGACCGAATGGGTATAAAAACACGTTATTTTCAATGCTGTCCAGCTTGCTGATATAGTTCATCAGCTTGGTGATTTTCAATGGTAAACATTTAAGTTGCAACGTGGTTGAATATTATTGTGTTCCTGGATCTCGGGAATTCTTTTGAGATATCTAGGGGGACATGTTAGGTAACAATTGTTTGAAGTGTGTATGGGATGGGGGGGGGGGGGGGGGGGGTAGAGGAAGTACCCCTCTGTCTTAAAATCATGCAGAGTACACTGTGTTCTTCCACCAGCTACATTGTATAACAACAAACTAATGTGTGACACTGCAAGCACTAAATGCAGCCCCTCCCACTCCTACCCTCTTGCCCTTTCCTGCCTTGAAGTATCGCCTTTTACATCCTACACCAAACTAAGACTCATGATCGAAGGGGCTTACTACTTACATGAGGACTACATTAAGATCATGAATGCTCATCCATCAGTCTCCTGACGTTGAGAACCATACAGGACATCCAAAAATACAGCCCCGGAAAGTCTTGCTACATCGGATACTTGATGGGAACCACATGCATTTACTTTGAATGTTAGTGGGTGGATTAAGGCGTTCGTTTCTCATTAACCTTGACCGATGATGAGAACACTCCAAGTAGGAGGAAAGGCTGTTTGTCATTTTTTTTCAAAACTGGCTTCGAGATGATTCCTTTTAACTTGTTGAAGCCCCCTGCAAAGCTGGATTTCCTATCTGCCCCTGTCGCCATACAGAGTTCATCTCGACCCCAAGAAAGAAGTTTGTGGGTTTTAGAAATTTCGGTTAGCCGCGTAGTTCCCTAAGGATTTGTTTTGTCAAAATAGCTATCTATTTTTATGCCCCGCGGCGAAGCCGAAGGGGCATACTGTTTCCGCCTTGTCCTTCCGTGGGTGGGTGGGTGGGTGGGTGGGTGGGTGGGTGGGTGGGTGGGTGGGTGTGTGGGTGTGTGTGTGGGTGGGTGGGTGTGTGGGTGTGTGTGTCCGGACAAATCTTGTCAGCGCGATAACTTGAGAAATACTTGACATATGAACTTCAAATTTGGTTTGTGGATTGTTCTTGGTAATCCTAAGAAGCCTTTCGCATTTGGAGCCAAAAGGACAAAGGTCAAGTTCACAGTGGCTAAAACAATAGAAATATTGTCAGCGCGATAACTGGAGAAATACTTTACATGTGAACTTCAAATTTGGTTTGTGGATTGTTTTTGGCAATCCTAAGAAGCCTTTCGCATTTGGGGCAAAAGGCCAAAGGTCAAGTTCACAGTGGCTAAAACAATAGAAATCTTGTCAGCGCGATAACTTGAGAAATACTTTACATGTGAACTTCAAATTTGGTTTGTGGATTGTTTTTGGCAATCCTAAGAAGCCTTTTGCATTTGGGGCCAAAAGGCCAAAGGTCAAGTTCACAGTGGCTAAAACAATAGAAATCTTGTCAGCGCGATAACTTGAGAAATACTTTACATGTGAACTTCAAATTTGGTTTGTGGATTGTTCTTGGCAATCCTAAGAAGCCTATTGCATTTGGGGTCAAAAGGTCAAGTGTCAAGTTCACAGTGGCTAAAACAATAGAAATCTGGTCAGCGCGATAACTTGAGAAATACTTAACATATGAACTTCAAATTTGGTTTGTGGATTGTTCTTGGTAATCCTAAGAAGCCTATTGAATTTGGGGCCAAAAGGTCAAGGGTCAAGTTCACAGTGGCTAAAACAATAGAAATCTTGTATTTATTCTGAGATTATAGGGATTAGGGATTAATTCATATAAAACCTACAGAAGACACTAATGCTGTCAATGAATGTTCCATGTGACCAAGGTACATGTAAGTTGATGTTAAAAGAGTGGTGTTATGTCATGGGAACAGTCACGGTTGCGGGGCATTTGTGTTTGTAAACACACCTGACTTGTTTTAAAATGTAACCTTCAGGTTCATTGATGGTGTTTGACATTTGGGAAGTGGTGGGCAGATAACTAGGAAGTGAGGGTTTTGTTGATGCCGGGAGAGGGGGGGGGGGGGGGGGGGAGTTGGTACAGTTGAAAATGGGGGTTTAGGTGTTGGAACCCCCCTTCCCCCATTGCAAAACAACTATGTAGGGTGCATCTCCCAACTCCCAGCCCCTATCCTCTAAAAGAAGGAAAGGGGTGAAGACTGATGGTTCGAACCCCCCCCCCCCCCCAAGAAATGAAACTAAGAGGGAAAAATAAAGAAGAGGCTAAAAGCCAATGTTGTCATGTACAGAAACCAGAAAAGTAGAAACTGCTGGAAAGGGGCTGAAACCTGGCTATTATTACTACAAACCTGTATCAGTGCCACATTGTGATATGTTCATCCTCTTCCATTTTGATAACAAGTGATAGCACGTTCAGTCACAAAACTTGCAGCGCCATCTGCTCGACATACCGGTAAACTTCCGAAAAGAACAATTTTACTTGGATTTGCAAGTAAACTTATGCAGAATTTTTATGAGGAAGCTGGTTTTTTTCACCTTCTTTTTTTGTTGTTGTCTGTATTTTTGATGGAACCAGACTCTTAAACTTTACAGTGTAAAGGAGTGCCAATCTCGTCACCCTGAATTCATTATAATACTGAAATGAAACTCCAAAAATACTTTTAGGATTACCCGTCTAATGGAGTCACAGTTTTACTATCACCTCTCCACACACAAGAAAAGAACCTGTGTCTACTTCAGAACACCCCGCCAACTCGTAAAAAAAAAGACGGAAAGAACTCTCTCAGATCACAATTGGCAATTATTTGGGGATCAGCCGTGACAAATGTCATTCCCTTTCAACGGCATTCCAACCTTTTGGTGTGAGCGTGTTGTTTTGCTCCCCCCACAAGATGTTCACCGTTACTTCGCCGCCTACACCTAAATAATAGTCAACAAGGGGACAAATGTTTTGGTGCAAATAGATTTCGAGAGGAAAGGCGGGGGTGGGCTGTGGGGGGGGGGGGGCATTATCGAGTAGTGTCGTTAATCCTATAATGCGGTCTTTGAGGCAGGTCTCGTCAAGCAAAATGGAAAAGGGAAGAACAGGGGAGAAAAATGGTGGTCGTTGGAATCCATTGAGGCTGGTGTTTTCAATTCTTCTCAAGAGGCTTCGTCTCACACGTTTGCAACAAGATTAGAGTGGGCTTGAAAAAGGATGTACCTTTTCAAGTGTTTTGCTCCGCGTTAGAGATACCGGGGGTAGTTAAAGGGGGGAGTAGAGATCCGTCATGGTTTGTTTGTTGTTGGTTTGGGGGTGTTGTCTTGTTTGTTTGTTTGTTTGTTTGTTTGTTTGTTTGAAGTTCAACAAGGATTACATAATGAAATCAGAAAACAATGTAACACAGAATCTCAAAGAAAATATAAACCCACAGAATTTGATTATTCATCTGTTCTATGGCTGTTCAAAGAATATGTGGAAAAAATACATTGATGGAAAAATTATTGAAAAATTTCTCTTTCAAAAAGGTTTTTTCTTTATTCCTGCAATAAATCATATTTGAGTTCCTTCATTGTCCTCTATTTGCTAAAAGAATAATAATATGCATTAATTTCTCCTTTTATGTGCACTAAACAGATCTTTGAGGATAGGATGACGAAATACAGCAGAGAAACTATTGAAGATGAAAGGGTAACGTTTGTTAAAGGAGCAGGAGTACAAGATTTTTTTCAAGGTAAACATCTAGATTAAATCCCGCATAGGTGTTTAAATATTTAAGTTATGGACACCCTGGTTCTAAGGAGTTTCTCTTCTGAAAAGTCAAAAGGTTCTGGAAACAAGGACTTCCATGGAAATTTGCTTTGCATCAATTGAGAAAAATGAATCCACATGCATATCACAGTTTTCTCAAAAGCATGACACATCCATCTTTCAATAACCTGTTGAGACATAGTGAAATTGTTCCCGAAATCGGCAAAAATACATTTTTTTTTTTACAAATTTTGTCCATGACCTTTGATCCTTCCAAAAATCCTTAAAAAACCCTCATGGTGTATATTGAAGTGTCTGGCAACTGGATTAGAGTTTAACAGTGATGTGGCAGCGTGCATAAAGTACACAGTGCAATACGGAAAAGGCATCACGTCACCTCGGAGACAATGCCAAAGTGCTTATTCACACGTCAAACCATGAAAACACACACACGCGCGCATGCATCCAGGCTTGTTCAGATCCCTATAATCATTCCAATCATCTCCCATAATGATTGCACTTACTCATTTATGAATTAATTTTCTGCTTGTATTAATGGCCTCTAACACGTCATAGCTGGCCCGTTACGGCTGCCCTCCCGATTCCTTTAGATGCACACATAGCGCCCCAGAAAACCAGAACAGCAGAAAAATTGTCATTAGCGGTTGTAATGAGCGCGTTTCTTTGCACGCGGGGTCCGTCGCGCGTCGCAGCAGTACGCCTGGACTTCTGTACAGCAGATGTCCGGGGAATACCTGCGTGGCGCTCGCTTCGCCCCGTTGCATGTCGCCACTGCCGTGTGAAATGTAATAAATACTAAATGCGGACCGGGAGGCTCTCCTGGGGGCTCTAACAGAAGTGTCAGCCGTGGTCTGTTTTGGGTTGTTATGTTGGGACAGGATTTTGTAGACACTGTGTTCGGTAATGATGATTCTGTTTGTCCGAGGTAGATTGTGTATACGATGAACGTGTTTGTGGGGGGATGGGGATGGGGTGATTTGTCGAACTCTCGACGGCTGTAGTAGTTGTCAGAATGAGTTAGTTGTGAGCGGCATTAATTAGTCTGAGCTACCACTGGGGTGGAGAAGACTAATGCTGGATTAGTTGGATGTGACAGGAATGTAGATTTGAGTTCAAAAAGAAATAAAAACCCGCCCCTCACATGCTGAAATTAGTATTGGTAGTAATGAATTGATTTCTTGTTTACCATATTTAAACTGTACTTAATTATTTGTACTTTTGTAAGTTGTTTTTTCTTTCTTCTTTAATGGTACCCCATGATTAAAGACATCAACAAATTTGGAGACAACCAACAGACAAATTCAGCATTGAACACTAAACTTTCAGAGACTTTACATGGTTAAGGTTTCTTGAATTGAGATGGAACCACAAATTTGCACAAGTTTAGGTTGTATGCAAGCATGCACTCAGTGCTCTTCCTACAATAGTTACAAAAATGCAAGTATTTTCAAGTAACCTAACACATATGCCAAGTCTCTAAAAGATTAGTGTTCTAATCTTAATTCTTTATGAAAAGGATCCTCAATCCACCGTGGGGAGTTTAGTGTGTAAAACTCAGCAGTTCAAATAACGTGTAAAACTGTACAAGGTTAACTGTGTTTCCTTGTATCTGGATCTGAGAATGGGTAGAAAAAAGTGTGATGCCCTCAAAAAGTGTTACTTGAAACTTGCTGTGACACCTCACCATCATTGGCCTGCTATCTCTGACACTGTATCGCTGCGGAAACAATATGGAAACAGATGGTCCAATGAGGGAGGGGGGGGGGTGGGCAGAGGGGGGAGTGGGGGGTGCAAGAAACTCAGTTTCATGTACTACTGAGTGCAAAGTAGCTCAAGTGACCAGCCATGAGCAGTCTAACCAGGATTTCATAGGATTGGTTGCTTTTCATGCATTCTGTTCATTTCCAATAACAGCACTCACAATCCAAAGAAGATGTTCCAAACCTAGCCTGTTGAAATTTCAGCTCAGTGGAAAATTGAAATTACACTTTTCAAGAGACAGTGAAAAACCATCTTCATTTTGATTGCGAAACACGATTTCGTCAATAACACTCTGTTTCAGAAATCAGTCAATTGACTGATCGTTGGAAATCCCCTGCATGTATGTTTCTTGATTTCATCGAAATGACAGCAAGTCAGACGGAATAAGTTCACTGGGTGTTTGGTACCAGTGTGATGTTTAATTGTATTTCTTTTGGTAATGAAACCAAGGATTCCTCAAAAGTACCCTAAGTACTGTAGCTCGAAAGCCTGAAGAAACCTGTAGAGAGAAGACAATGAGAAGAAATTACAGTTTTAGAGGTGGGAGGAAAACCCAGAAGAATATTCTGAGGAAAACCCACGGAATCAGGTAGGGACTGAAAACCCAATCCACATATTGGCCCGGGCGGGATTCGAACCCGGGTCACAGCGGTGGAAGGCGAGGAAAGTACCGCTACGCCAACCTGACTCCCCAATCCATGTAAGCCTTTTCATTCAATAATTCGGTAGGTTACTTTTTTTGTTGGAATTTGTTTGGAATAATGGTCAAATATTGCTATAATAGGCAATATGACTTCACAGAATAAGCACTTAATCATTTGTTTTAGATGAAACAGACATCCATCATTCATGAACAACCTTGAAATTGTGGGATGAAAACTTTGATAGCGTTCATTGCCAAATAGACAAGTTGGCTTCCTTATGATGCCCAATATAACAATTTGTTTGTGGATGCAGTACAGCTAAGTACTGCATACAAGTGTATCCATGTAATTGTATGTTGGTGAAATTCCAAAACATTCAATCCAAAATAGAGGCCGGGGTGGCCTCTTTTGTGCTCCCAAAATTGTTCAGTACAATTCATGGCTTTTTAAGACTAACCCCAGGAATGGCAAAAATACACTTAATAAGTCATGCAGTTGAAAGGGAATTGAAGTTGGTAGCACACCTTGCAAGAAAAAAATTCCCATTCTTTGGAAAGCCGTGGCTTTGTGTAATTTGTAGAATATTCAACTTTCAAAAGTTCAAAAGAAAATGGAACGAGTCGACTGAATCACCAGATGGACCAGAAGAAGAAAAACCTGCGGTACAACTAATGGCTTTTAAATCTAACCTCAAAACAGGGGCAAACCGGTAATAAATTTTGCAGAACTTTGCAAAGGAAGTATAGTGCACTATGGAACAATGCCACTCTGTACCGGTTTGACTTCATTTATTACAGGGACACACAAGTTTGTTTTTTCTTTGCATTGGCTGCTTTGTGTACTCTTCCTATTCAAATCCGGATCTTTTTTATTTTGTTAAGAAACTTCAAATCCACGCCTCGGGCAGGTTATCCCCCAACCGATCCATCAAATATCAAATTACTTCAAGCTGTATACAAATGACTTAATAATAGGGAGTTAATGCGAAGTTTGGGTGGCAAACAATACCCGTTTGGAACTGTTCCCCCAGCAAAAGCCGGTCTGGGTTAGCTGAAATAAAATAAACTTCTGAAGTCATAAATCAACAAACAGCAAATGCTTTTTGTTTGTCTGACATTCTTTTCATCCCTTGGTGACAAATCACCGAGTGGTTGCGCTTTCCATTCAGTTTAGTAACTTTGCCCTACCGTATCCATTCTGCTTATACACAAAACGACAGCTTGCTTATTGCCGGTAAGAACAGAGTCCTTTTTATATTATGTACATTAATAGACGGCCGACGGAGCGTGGCAAGCCACAGTTCATCGGACGGACGAGTAGCCTAGAAAGTAATTCCATTACCCATCCTGAATACTAATAATGCACAACTGTGGTAGCTCATCTGAAACTGATCACTTGTATGCCATGCATAAATTTTCTCCCCCCCCCCCCAACTTTTCGAGGTAGAAAAGGGAAAGATGGCTTTTGTTGTAATAGACAGTGTGAATTATTTAGCAAGTGGGCCAGGTCACGGCACCCAGGTGAACTGATGATGATGTTGGTGATGGCCAGCGGCCACAGATAATGCCTACAACTTCAAGTAGGTTGCAAATGAGGAGAACAGAACAGAAATAACATGTACTCGGTATATCTAGAAGAGAACATCGATCTTTAGCGGTCGGCCGGTTCATACGCGGTGCAAAAGTGAACGTGAACAGGAATTTGTGATGTCACGGCGAAATGTTGGCTGCGAATGAACATAAGTTGAACACGGTTGGGTCCAGAAATAATGACATACCAAAACGCAAACTGTATCCTATTAAGGTACTGTTTACCCCCCCCCCCCCCCCCCAAAAAAAGAAGTTGACCAGAAACGTGGCATATCCGGTTTGACTTTGTGACAAATCTGGAAAAAAAACAGGGCTGTAGACAGTGACTACAAAATACGTAAGCTGCTAAACTTTTAATCCAGACAATCGGCAACATTCTTTTCTTCGTTCCATGGGTTTTTATTGATCGAGTGGGCAGACAGTAATCAGGTTGAGCAGACCAGCAGAAGATTTTCCAACGGATTTGTTTTTTCAAAACTGTACGCCTGATAAATAACAGGACTGTAAATGAGTGCATTTAGCTTTGCATGCTTCGTGCGCATCGACACAAATATGATGTGACTGGAAGTTGTGCGTTGCCCTTGGTGGAACATTTGTTCCGTCCGATTTTCCACCAACCAGAGATGAACCCGAATCAAAGCCGTGAAGATTTATTGCTCGGGTAGACTTCATCTCCGCCCCTCCAAGGGAAAAAAAAGACAAGAAAGGATTGAAAAAAAAAACTTTGTTGGGATTCCTTGGTGGAAGCAACACAATGCCAATCGTAAGAAGATAAAAAGCTTTGCTTTTCCCCGGAGGTGTAAACAAGAGCTTACCTGAGATAAGCCGGCTATTCTTCTTGGCTTCTTTGGGTGGGGGAGCCGACGGCCGGGACAGACAGTTAGACAGCCCTGTTTCACAGGTGCAGTTTAGCGATGTTCCATTAAACCTGAAAGGCTTCTGTTGTGCCATCCCAATGTAGTCACCAT